AAGATAAAAGAAAAAAGAAAATAATTTAGGAGAATACTATAAGCATGATTTCAATGAAAAGTGACAAAAATGTGTGTGTATTAGTATTACTGAGATTATCTTCCATCATCTTATACTTTAAAGAACATACTAATACTACGAAGAAAACGTATACACGTACATGCGTATTATCATCACATGCATATGTATCAAGGTATCAGGAGAAGAAAAATCATTCAAAAGGATATCCTTCGAAGTCGGACAAATTGAATCAAAGAAACTTAATCCCTGTCTTTTTTTTAGCAATAGTATATCACACACACACACACACACACACACATATATATAAATAAAATTGATTTGATCATCTGATCATCTATTGGATCATACTGAACGAGTTTTATTTTATTTTGTTTTTACTTTCAAAGATTTGATTATAGTTCAATGCATTTAAGTTACCAAATCAAATCCTAATTCATTTATTTTTTACTTAAAAAAAAAAACCTAGAAAACACATTGGCGTAATATCATATTTTTTTTTTTTTTCTATTTTTTTGTTTTACTCTTTCAACTTGTGTTTCTTTTTTTGATGATAGTAGTAGTGAAAGGTGCAACAACGTGAACCAGTTTTCTTCTTGGACGAAGAAGAACTTTTATTTCTCAACAACTATACTGAAGAAGAAGGAGAAAGGTCAAAGGACACACACACTATCGTACATTACGTCTATAGCAACTTTGTGTGAATAAAACGTGTACGTTTACATGTAAACCACGATCAAAGACACACACACACACATACATACACACATTCATACACATATATTTATATATGTGTTTGAAAACGTGTTTGTGTACGTGAAAATTCACCTTTGCACTTAAAGAGAAAGAGACAGAAGATGAAACTAGGGTGCAATGGTGGTGGTGGTTGATGCATTCTGTTCAACTATGAAACTCACAAATACAATCATCATTCGTTATCGTATATGAATGTAAAAAAAAAAAAAAAAAAATGAAACTCACAAATACAATCATCATTCGTTATCGTATATGAATGTAAAAAAAAAAAAAAAACAGTAGTTACTTGGTTATCAATTGATTCTTTTTTTTTTCAATTAAAAATAATTATAATCTATCTATAGGGTGTTTAAAAAAAAAATTCATCTGTAATTTAGATTCGAATTTTTTCAATTTTATCAAAGCAATAAAACACAAATTTCAATCTAAATGAAATAAGAATAAAAAAAGAAAAAAATAGGAAGTAAAGAAGTACGATCAATCGTTTAAAGTGCATTTAAAAATTTCAACCAATCCCGTGATTGCTATTACTACTACGTTAGTGTGTGTGTGTGTTTGTGGTTACTTCAACATACTGCAATTGAAATGTTTTTCAACGTACGCACGTTTTAAGATTTTTTAACGTGATTATAATTCATTATTCTCCATTTTTTTTTCGGGTTATATTGAAAAAAAGGAATTCGTGTGCAATAAAAAAAAAAAATTTGGTACAATCATTAACAAAAAAAAATAAAATATAAATAAATCAATCAATAAACGTAAAAATTCGATTGAGTGTTTATTAACTGATGAATAAACTGATAATTGAACGGGGGTTGGTGAGGGGGTATTGTTTTATTTTCAAAATTCACTCACACGTGCATATCGTGAACTTTTAATAGAATTCATGCGTTAAAAGTTTGCAAAAATTGATATATTAGAAAAAAAAAACAAAAAAAAAAAAATGTGAATTCCATTAAATTTGATACATGTACACGAGTGTGTACGTCTCTGTGTATTTGTGTGTGTGTGTGTGTGTATGTATGAAAAACAATAGAAATTTTATAAAATTTTCAAACGTCGAACAATAACTGAATTTTATGTGTTAACAGTCTGGAAAGAAATATAGAAGAAAGGAAGAATAAAAAAAAAAAAAGAAAAAATCGAAACAATTTTCAGTTGTTGTTGTTGTGCGCCAGTTTATTGACGATGAAAAATCAATGACTAGTTTTTTTTTTTCTTTTCAAACAAGAAAATAAAAATTAAAAACAAAGAAGGAAAACAATGAAAACCTAATCGGATTGATTTAATTAGTGCAATCGATTATGTGAAATTTATGAACAATACGAAAGAAAAAGGATATTAAAAATTTGTTAAATAAATAAATAAATAAAAATAAAAAGAGAATAGAGAGATCTCATCGAAGAGGAAAATTTTCAGATAAAACGACGACTCAAGTTTCATCTTTAACTTAATCGTCATTATCATTTATCTTTCTGTGTGTTTTTGTGTATATGTGTGTGTTTTATTCGCAAAAGGAGTGATGAGTAGCGGGATGGTATTGAATCGCGTGATACTTTGATAAAGAAATAAAATAAAAATAAAGAGTTAAGAAGAGAGATAAAGTGAAAGATAGACAGAGTGAGAAAGAGGGTGGGGTGGGGTGGGGGGGAGAAACAAGAAGAAAAAAAAAAGAAGAACAAGTGTATAAGAAAACTCACCCTTCTTTTGGTGATAATGCAAAAGGATTTCTCATTCAAACTAATGCGGAAACTCGGAAACCGTGATCCGTTGAAAAGAATTTCCACGTGATAGAAACGTTCAAATTGAACAATAAAAAAAAAAAAAATAAAAAGAAGAGGGAGAAGAAGAAGAAGAAGAAGAGCTTTGCGATGAGAAAAAATCAAGTATCGAAAATAAACAAAAAAAAA